AAATTTAGTAGGCCGAGATTACCACGTGGCATGTGTACGTGCATATGCTGACGTATCGATCAGTTGGTTGCACGAGGCAAGATACGATCAGTAGTGTACGGAGCATGTGCAAGAATACAGGATGTAGTATTCCCCTCCTCCATTGTGCTGGACAAGCCATGCGGTCAAGCAGGAAGTTAATTCTTATTTGTAATGATTGGTCAAGAGAATGTGCGGGTGGAGCTTAATATGGGAGGAGTTATGTGCCTATATAGGGAGCCTGCACTATTGTTCAGGGCTCAGAACTTGCTGTATTTTTGGTGACATTAGTCCCTCTGAGTCCCGATCGGTGATCCAATAAAGAATCTCTTCCTTCCTGAAGAAACCTGTGTCCATCCCTCTGTGCTTTGCTTCCGTCAGTTTCTCCGGTATCAAAGACAATAGAAGAGGAAGAACGCTGATAGTGCAGTAATTAGTGCTTTAATATAGTGATATAAAGTAACAAAAGAAACACACAACTGTGGAGTTTCCAACAAGCTCACAACATACTGCATGGAGAGATACAATCCTTGCAGAGGAATTAGACATATAAGGGTGTGGCTTTAACCCCTTAAGGACACATGACATGTGTGACATGTCATGATTCCCTTTTATTCCAGAAGTTTGGTCCTTAAGGGGTTAAATAGGTCACACATCTCGTAGACCATATTGTGATCCTTGTCTGCAGGTAGCACGGTCCTCTAGGGTAAACAACAGGCACAGTCCTTTTATTTTCATATAATCCAGGCACTTTATTTGTAAGTCCACGAAGGAGACAGCAGCAAATGAAAACATAAATATAACACAAATCCCTATAAACAAAAACCTAGCTTGTCTGAGCACTTACTAACTTCAGGTTCCCTATCTCTCAGGGGTTAAACTAGAACAAAACAATATTGGTTTTACCAGCCTTGTGTCTTTGTCAGCTCTCTGCACTCCAGTGCTTAATCAGCCTGTTGCTTTCCTTTCTATACTCCCAGGGCTCCAAGCTAGCCTTAACTACTTTCCTTTCTGCACTTCCAGTGCTCCAAGCCAGCCTTGACTGCTTCCTTCTGTGCTCCCAGTGCTCCAAGCCAGCCTTGACTGCTTTCCTTTTGCAGTCCCAGTGCTCAGTCTCCTTGACCCTCTTACTGGAGAGAACATCCTCTCTCCTACCTGCTTCCAGGGAGGAAGCCAGCAATCCTCCGTTTACCTGCCTCGCAGGGAGGGGTTTATTCCCACTGCTACAGCTGATTATCTGCAGCTGAGCAGTGGGTTGCAGACAGTTCCAAAAAATTCTGGCCTGGAACTTATTTCTCCCAGTTGTGTATAAACTGAGGAGTGGAGCATTGGCCCACCCTGCTCTCCAAATGCTCCACCCCAGGAGCCCATAACTAAATGTAGCTTTGTGTTGCAAACCACACATACAACACATACTTCCCCTGGGGTTAAATGTTAAAGGCCTCTCTGCCTTCACTTTATCACAATATGAAAGATAAGCAGACAAAGAGATACCCAAATGGTGTAGCACTATATGTACAAGTAATATAAATAGAATGCCAAAAAGCACTCGTAAGTAGAGATGAGCGAACCCGAACTGTAAAGTTCGGGTTCGTACCGAACATTACGATTTTTGGACCCCGAACATGGACATTTCAGTAACAGTTCGGGTTCGAGTTTGGTGTTCGGCGATTTAATGGTGCGTTTTGAAAAGCTGCAGGGCAGCCAGTCAACAAGCACACAAACTTGTGTGCCCTTTGAAGCCATCACAGCCATGCCTACTAATGGCATGGCTGTGATTGGCCAGTGCAGCATGTGACCCAGCCTCTATATAAGCTGGAGTCACATGAGCTCTTATTAGTGTAGGGAGAGGATGCTGCAGCTGTGAGGGACAGATTAGGAAAGAATTCTGGTGTTGAATCTGCAAACTACAGTGATTATTTTTGTGGGTGCTATACTACATTTTTGTACCCTGCCCTGAGCCCAGTGCCACAGAGAAATAAGCAATCAGTCTGTTTGTTAGGTGGGCACTTGCAACTGCATGTGTGCCAGGCACATTACTTTAATCCTGTTCTGGTAGCTCAGAGGACAACAACTAGGCATTATTAAATACTGCTGTGACATTGCAGTTTGGACAAATTCAAATTTTTTTGGTGCTAAAAAGTAAATTTGTGGCGGGCACTTTATATCTGAGAGTCAAATAGAACCATCAGATACTGTGGTTACATCGCAGTTTGACCAATTCAAATTTTTTTTGGTGCTAAAAAGTAAATTTGGGGCATGCACTTCATATCTGAGAGTCAAATAGAACCGTCAAATACTGTGGTTACATCGCACTTTGAAAAATTCAATTTTTTGGGGTGCTAAATAGTACATTTGCGGCCTGCGGTGCATTTCTTGCAGTCCAATAAAACCGTTAAATACTACTGTTACATTGTTGGTTTAAAAAATCACACTTTTTTGTGCTAAATAGAAAATTTGCGGCCTGCGGTGCATTTCTTGCAGTCCAATAAAACCCTTAAATACTACTCTTATATTGTTAGTTTAAAAAAATCACACTTTTTTGTGCTAAATAGAACATCTGCGGCCTGCGGTGCATTTTTTGTAGTCCAATAAAACCCTTAAATACTACTCTTACATTGTTGGTTTAAAAAAAAACACACTTTTTTGTGCTAAATAGAACATTTGCGGCCTGCGGTGCATTTCTTGCAGTTCAATAAAACCCTTAAATGCTACTCTTACATTGTTGGTTTAAAAAATCACACTTTTTTGAGACAGTGAAGTAACTGTATTAATTACGCCTGTCACACTGTTGTGTGACCTCTAGAAAATGTTTCTCTTTAGGACACAGGCACTGCCTTACTGTCAGTGAACTTAATGGTTGACTATTGGCGGTAACATTGTCGTCTGACATAAACCATCTGTTAATTTGGGCCTTAGGCAGATAGCAGTTTGGCGCATGTCCTTCCGCCACACAGGATTACAGGGCATTTCTCTTTGCCTCCTGTTGCCTCCTCCTCCTTCTCCGCTTCCTCCTCCTCTACCACCTTCTCATCCGGTCAGCGTAACACATTCACCACCAACTTCAGTACAGCCAGGGGGAAACGACAGAAGGCTGTTTTAAAACTCATATGTTTGGAGGGGAAAACCCCACACCGCGCAGGAGCTGTGGACGGGCATGGAGCAACAGACCGATGAGTGGTTGTTGCCACTGAGCCTCAAGCCCGGCCTGGTGGTGTGCGATAATGGGCAAAATCTCGTAGCAGCTCTGGGCCTAGCCGGTTTGCCGCACATCCCGTGCCTGGCTCATGTGCTGAATTTGGTGGTGCAGAAATTCCTGAAAAACTACCCAAATATATCAGAGCTGCTGCAGAAAGTGCGGGCCGTCTGTGAGCGCTTTCGGCGTTCTCACCCTGCTGCTGCTCGCCTGTCTGTGCTGCAGCGTAACTTCCGCCTTCCCGCTCACCGCCTCATATGCTACATGCCCATCCACATACTGGAGAGACTGTGCGAGCAGCAGCAGGCGATAGTGGAGTTTCAGCTGCAGCACGCAGGGGTCAGTCGCTCTGCACCAAACTTGCCCTCCAATAGATCATTGTTAAAGGATTTAAAGTGTACTCATTCCAATTACAGGGCTTCAAAAGAGTCCTGTATTGTTATTTATCGTCACTACCGCCCCGCGTCGGGAGTGGGTAATTTGCGCGCCTGCTGCCTTCCTTGGATGTGGTAGCCGTTTCTCAGGCTCCTTATCCGGAATCGAACCCTGATTCCCCATTACCCATGGTCACCATGGTAGACACAGAAAGTACCATCGAAAGTTGATAGGGCAGACATCCAACTGCTTTGTCGCTGTCATGGGGATGTGCGATCGGCCCGAGGTTATCTAGAGTCACCAAAGTGCCTGCGCAATGACTGCCGAGTTGCCCAAATTCTAACTTGTGCTGATTACTGGGTGGCCAGCCTGCTGGATCCCCATTACGAGGACAACGTAATTCCCTCACTGGAGCGTGATCGGAAGATGCCCGACTACAAGCGCACGCCGGTAGGCGCGCTGCTGAGGGCATTCCCAACTGACTCAGAGAAAGCAGAGAAGGAAGAAGAGGTCGCCAACGCAGCTGGGGCACCGCCAGCACCTCAGAAGGCAGGGTTAGCATGGCCGAAATGTGGAAAAGCTTTGTCAGCACGCCAAAACAACCAGCACCACCAGCTTATATGGAACATCTTAGCAGGAGGCAGCATTTCAGCAACACGTGGAACAGTACGTGTGCACACGCCTACACATACTGACTGATGAGTCTGCCCCATTCAACTTCTGGGTCTCCAAATTGTGCACATGGCCTGAGCTTGTCCTTTATGCCTTGGAGGTGCTGGCCTGCCCTCAGCCAGTGTATTATCTGAACGCACGGCAGGGAGCATTATCACAGACAAGCGCAGCCGCCTGTCCACAGCCAACGTGGACAAGCTCATGTTTATTAAAATGAACCAGGCATGGATCCCACCAGACTTGTCTGTACCTTGTGTAGAATAGACATTTATACCGGCCTCACCCAGCCATTGTTATGCTCAAGTGCACTTATTCTTTGTTTTCTTTTTTTAAATGTCCCAATATTTTGGGAGCTACCCCAATTGTTTGCAGGGCACTTTTCCTACTCTTACCCCCATTTTACTTCCTTTTGCAGCCCTCTAGCCCTGATATAGAAAATGAAAACGTCCGTGATATAGAAAATGAAACAAAGAATATATAGAGCTCACTGTATATCTGACATGGTATAAAAAGGTGGAAAATGTGCTTACATTTCGTACAGCAATTGATTGGCTTTATGATGTAAGTCAGCTGGGGAGTTACTATCCCCTCCAGGGATAAATGGAGCCAAATCTGTCTTGTCCAAAATAGCCAGATGATCCAAGGAAAAAAACTGCAGGACCAAAAACAATTGGAATCCACAAAGGTTTATTACAAGAGCAAAAACTACAATAAATGTAATGTATAAAAAGGAAAGTATGTTGATTTGTAATATACAAAGCTTTCAAACACTTTAATAATGAAATTATTGTTTTAGATTGAAAACTGTTTAATTCACAAGTTAGGTCACATTTATCTCAGATGCTCATTTGTTCTATGATATAAGCATGTGCTGTTTGATCCTGCTTGTTTTGTCCCCTATTTTAACGTTCCCCTATAACTGGTGGGGAGCAGGAAGTCTGTGCTCTACAGGCTGGGGGTTTGGCTTCATATCCTTGCACATGATGTCTAATACACTGGACCAAGGGACCAGACAGCCTGACCCCTTCATCACTTGCAAAAACAACCTCCAGAGAGGGGTTTCAAAAGGTGTAGAGCTCATGTGTTATTCGAACATGAATGTACAAGTTACAATAAATGACTGGTAGTCTTAATGCTGCTTTAGCAGGATTTATTGGTGTTTATTAGTTGGGAGAAATAATTTTATAGTTGTAGTCTCTTAAGGATCCCAATCATAACTCCATAAGCATCTAATCCATTCCCCAAAAACCCTATGCTAGTATGGAAAGCCCCCATGGCAGGGCTGGCAAACTTTGGACTGAGAGGACAAGTGCAAAGGTGTGTTTTTTTCTGCACACAAAACTCTCAGATCAGATGTGTGGATGCTCCTACTCTCATACTGCTTATATGTTTGCCAGATGGAGGAGGCTAGAGTGTGACATTATATATGTGACATCATATATCCCTGCAACCTTCATTAGTATGGTCTGCGTAGTATGTTGGAGCACTTATAGAGATTCACATAACTCCTCTGCTACCAGTGTCAAATGGTGTCATGAATACAGCCTCATCTTAACCTATTGCCACTTGCAACATTTACATTGACACCATATATGCTTATCAACTCAACATTTGCTATTTGTCACTGGTCCATCTTCAGGGTTTAAATACCCCTCTTGAAGTGTTTAAACTGTTCCGGCTGTAGCTCGAGTGCGTTGACGGTTTTGTCACTTCACTGAAGATGGAACAGCGACACAGCACTGAGGAAGGCCCCACCTGGGACTGAAACGCGTTTGCTACCAACTGGACATATTCTGGGACTTTTTGTTGGCGGTATTTAATTATGTTTGTATCTATTTGTATTTACACTGCTTCTTTTCTTTGGCCAAACTTGCGTTGTATTACTATTTCCTAAGATACCTGCTGTCACGATTCGGGGAACCTAACACGCTGACACACACACACACACAGAAAAGGTGACGTACCGGACCTTAGAGTGGCCGGGCTAAGCACGCTAAGAATAGTCAGGAGACAAGCCAGGTAAAGGGAGCCAGAAAACGGTAGAACGAGAAACAAGCCGAGGTCAAAGGAATGGAGAAGACAGACTAATCGGAATAACGAGCCAAGTAAACGGTAACCAGAGAGCAAGACGAGAACACTATGCTACAGGTATCACAAGACCACAACAGGGCACTGAGGGACAGGAAAGGTAAGTATAAATACCCTAGGTCTAATTCTGATTGGACAACTTCCAATCAGAATTAACAATCACACGTGGGGGATATCTATACCCCCCACTGTGATTGTGGTACTGTTTCTTTAACGCCGGGTCACTCATGTGACCCCGGCGTTTACTTAACTCCTGGACCTCCCAGCGTGCAGCGTTATACATGCTGCCGCTGAGGGGCATGGAGGACGCTGGCGGCGAGCGGCACAGAGGAGACGCCGCTCGCCGACAGGTAAGCAGAGAGGAGACCGCGGGCGGCGATGGACTGAGGGTGAGTGCTGCAAGTGGCGTGCAGCCTCCCCTCCTCGCCGCCCGCGGCTCCCTGACACCTGCCATACTTTTGTCCCTTATTATCTACATATTTTTAATTATATTCAATTATAATACATTTGTACTTCACTGACATATATCGAGAGCCTGGACATGCACCCAAGGACTGTTTTCATAGAGCCTACGTGGCTCCATCTTTGTGAGTGCATTCCACATATACTTTAATCTCTATATTTTACATGCTATGGAGAGCACTATGTATGTTTTATTTGTTTTTCAGATGGAACTGCATTATTAATACCTGTTAAAGGTGGTATATTGGTATATTACACCTACTTTGTGTGTGTGAATCAATTTTTTTTCTATCATCTATTTGGTTTTTAGGTGATAAGGAATTACACCTTTTTTACACCCACGTAATAAATATTTGAAGTGCCTACACAACAATTTGTATTTTTTGCTTATTGTTTTAGAGACAGTCCCAGTAGGGATTTCAGAATATGTGTGCTCCTGGCACAAACAGCTATTTTGGTTTTCCAGTTCACAACAGGAAGATTAAAGTCACCCATGATAACTTTGGAGCGTTACTCACCTTATCCAGGGGCCGGCCGCGGTCCTCTCTTCGAGCCGCGCGCGGTCCTGCTGCTGCACGAGCCGCGCGCGGCTCATCCGACGGCCTCAACAGGAAGGCGGGCAGTGACCGCGAGAAGCGGTCACGTGTCCCGCCTGAATCTAAGAGCTCTTAAAGAGACAGTGGGAGCCTAAATTGTTAAAAGGCTCCCATTGGCCCCTGTCATGCCACAATCCCCATACACTTACCTTTTGGGGGTGTGGATATGACAGGAGCCAATCACATTAGTTTAGAAGCTATATATACTTACCTCTCCCTTTACTCCCTGCCCTATCGTGGTTTCTGTATCAGTTCCCTTTAGCGCTTGTTGTGTTCAGTTGTGTTTCTCCGTTTTGACTTTGGCTTTGTTTCTGACTACGTTTTCTCTTTATCCTTATCTGTTCTGGTTGTCGGCTTGCTGTTTACTGTGTACCAGACCCCGGCTTGTCCTAGTTTACGCTGTCTCTCTGTGTCCTTGACTTTGGATCGTCCCTGACTCTGCCTCCTCTCATATACGTCGAGTCCGGCCATTCTAAGGTCCGGTAGACGTATTTCTCCTCTGTGTTGTCTTCTGTTTAGCCGAATCCTGCGTGTTGGGGTATATTCTCGTTACATTACGATAGGGCCATGGACCCCGCAGATTTGGCTCAGCAAATGGCTTCTCACGAGGCAAGGTTTGTAGAACAGGATCATCGTATGGATCAGATAGCACAGGCTCTCCAGACGCTCTTGTCTAGAACTATTCCTGCAACCACACCTAACCCTCCTACACCCCATCCTGCCGAAGTATCCAATTCACCCAATACTTCGCCCCATTTAACACCTCCTCCTAGGTATGGAGGGGAAGCCAAGACATGCAGAGGTTTTATTAATCAAATAGAATTCCACCTTGAGATGTATCCTCATTCCTTTCCCACTGATAGGTCTAAAGTGGGGTTTTTGATGCATCAACTTACTGACAAAGCACTTGAGTGGGCAAATCCTATTTGGGAGGCCAATGGACCTATGGTGCATAATTTCAATAGCTTTCTTACGGCTTTTCGTAGAACTTTTGACACAACAAAAAGGTCAAAGAATGCCGCAAGAGCATTAATGATTATTAAACAGGGGTCTAGGTCTGTGGCTGATTATGCTATTCAGTTTCGTACCCTTGCTTCACAGGTAGATTGGACCAATAATGGGTTAACTACTGCGGTCATGGAAGGTTTATCTGACACTATATTAGATGAGGTAGCGGCAAGGGAGCTTCCTATTCCATTAGAGGACCTTATTGACTACCTCATTGATATAGATAATAGAATTTGTGACAGGCTCTATACCAAGAACAGGAATAGACGTGTAGTCACACCTACTAACCCCAGAGTTGATAAACCTGAGAGTGTTAAAGTATCCGAGGAGGAACCCATGCAATTAGGGGTTGCCAAACTCTCAGATACTGAAAAACTACTAAAAAGAAGGAACGGACTCTGCCTATACTGTGGTAGGCGAGATCATATGGTAAAGGAATGCCCTTTGCTTCCGGAAAACTCTCGCACCTAAGACCTTATAGGGGACTGGCCTTGGGTGTGATATCTAAGTCTCCTAAATTGCCTCCTAACCGTTTGCTTCTCCCTGTTTCCCTTCATACGGGAGAGAGTTGTATAGCTGAAAGCATACTAGCCTTGGTTGATTCCGGGGCGGCTGAGAACTTCATTGACTCTGAGTTTGTTACGAAAAATAACACTCCCGTCAGAGAGAGGCAGATACCCTTGGCCATTGAGGCCATAGATGGTAGACCTTTAAATACTCCAGTAGTTACCCATGAAACTGTACCATTATTCATGTACACAGGGGTTTTACACCTTGAGACCATTCGGTTTCAGGTTATCACCTCTCCCTCTTCTCGTATCGTGTTAGGGTACCCATGGTTATGTTCTCACAATCCCATTTTTGACTGGGAATTGGGGCAATTAAAATCATGGGGTAAAACCTGCCACAACTCTTGTATGAGTAAAGTTACCCCTTTAAATACCATTAATGTTCCTACTACTCCTCCTTTATCTACTGTTATACCTCCTCAGTACTTGTTTCTCAAAACTGTATTTGATAAAAGGGAGGCTGATAAATTACCGCCTCACAGATCCTATGATTGTGCTATCTATTTATTGCCTGGCACTATACCTCCTGAGGGCAGGGTGTACCCTTTGTCTATTCAAGAAAACCGTATCATGGAGGAGTATGTTAAAGAATCACTAGAAAAAGGGTTCATTAGGAGATCCTCTTCTCCGGCTGGAGCAGGGTTTTTCTTCGTATCTAAGAAAGAGGGTGATTTAAGACCGTGCATTGACTATAGAGGTCTAAACAAAATCACTATCAAAAATGCATACCCTATACCTTTAATTACAGAGTTATTTGACAGGCTGAAACATGCTACTGTGTTCACCAAATTGGACCTTAGAGGTGCATACAATTTAATACGCATAAAGGAAGGTCACGAATGGAAGACTGCATTCAACACTAGGTCCGGTCATTACGAGTACACTGTTATGCCATTTGGTCTTTGCAATGCCCCAGCAGTATTTCAGGAATTTATTAATGACGTCCTAAGAGACTTTATTCACACATTTGTAATTGTATACTTGGACGACATATTGATATATTCTACAGATTTGCACACTCATCACAGACATGTCACAACGGTCCTGAAGACCCTTCTTACTAATGGTCTTTATTGTAAACTAGAGAAATGTTTATTTGACCAATCCGAAGTCCAGTTCTTGGGGTATTTGATTTCCGCCAAAGGGTTTCGTATGGATCCCCAGAAGCTTTCTGCTGTCATAGAGTGGCCTCTACCACAGGGCTTGAAAGCAATTCAACGTTTTCTTGGTTTCTCTAACTATTATAGACGCTTTATTAAGGGTTTTTCGTCTATTGTAGCACCTATCACCCGTATGGCAAAAAAGGGTGGTAATACTCGTGTCCGGTCTCCCGAGGCACTTCAGGCTTTCGACTTTCTTAAAACTACATTTGCCTCTGCACCTATTTTACAGCACCCTATCCCCTCACTGCCTTATATTCTTGAAGTTGATGCTTCTGAAATCGGGGTAGGTGCTGTTTTGTCCCAAAGAGAATCGCCTGAAAGGCCATTGCATCCTTGTGGCTTCTTTTCTAGACAAATGTCCAAAGCTGAAAGGAATTATGATGTGGGTAATCGTGAACTCCTTGCTATTATCTTAGCTCTTAAAGAATGGAGACACTTGTTAGAAGGAACTAAGGATCCTATCCTCATTTTTACAGATCACAAGAATCTATCCTACCTTGGTGAAGCTAAAAGATTATCTTCTAGGCAGGCTAGATGGTCACTATTTTTGTCCCGTTTCAATTATATTATCACCTATAGGCCAGGTGATCGCAACATTAAAGCAGATGCTCTGTCCAGACAGTTCGAAACTACTGACAAACAGGAGGTTGATGTTACTCCTGTCATTCCCCAGACAGGATAATAGCCACTACTATGTTGTCTATTTCTTCATCCCTCTTGCAGACCATACAGGCGAAACAAAGTATAGCACCTAACGAGAGGCCTATTGATAAATTGTTTGTTGATGTTCCAGAGAGACGGGAGATTCTGTCATTATATCATGATACTAAGACTGCTGGACATCCTGGTATTACCAAAACGATGTCAGCAGTTTCTCGATATTTTTGGTGGGGTTCCTTACGCAAGGATGTCACTGACTATATAAGTGCTTGTACTACTTGTGCATGTATGAAAATGTCTCGTAGAGTTCCTTGTGGGCTTCTACATCCCTTACCAGTTCCCAGAGAGACCTTGGTCTAACCTATCCATGGATTTTATTATTGAATTACCCCCTTCGAATGGTAACACAGTCATCCTGAGTCAGTCATCATGGCTCACTTTGTGTCTCTTCGCAAGTTGCCCACATCCAAGGAACTGGCTCTTGTCTTTGCTAGAGAAGTATTTCGGTTACATGGTATTCCTGTATCTATCGTGTCCGATAGGCGTAGCCAATTTATTTCCAGGTTCTGGAAAGCCTTTTGCTCAGAAATGGGTATTTCTCTCTCATTTTCTTCCACTTACCATCCCCAGTCTAATGGAGCTGCTGAACGTGCCAACCAGTCTCTGGATCAGTACCTTCGTTGTTTTGTGTCTCACCATCAGGACAATTGGTCTGACCTGCTTCCTTGGGCTGAGTTTGCTCGGAATAATGCCACTCATGATTCTTCCGGCAAAAGCCCTTTTTACGTTGTCTATGGCCAGCATCCCGTTGTTCTTCCGGCTGCATTCTCCTCACAGGGCATGCCAGTTCTGGATGAGCATTTGGCTGGTTTGCGTAATACTTGGGAGCAGGTTCAGCGTTCTTTGGTGGATTCCGCTGCTCGCCAGAAGGCTCAGGCTGACAAGCATCGCAGGGCGGCTCCTACTTATGTTGTGGGGGACAGGGTTTTGCTTTCCACGCGGAATATTCGCCTGCGGGTGCCTTCTATGAAATTGGCTCCCCGCTTCATAGGTCCTTATCGTATTCTGCATAAGGTTAATCCTGTTTCATATGCCTTGGGTCTTCCTAGGAATCTGCGTATTCCTAATGTCTTTCACACCTCGTTGTTGAAGCCTTACGTACGCAAACGCTATACCCGGCATTCTCCGCCTACCCCTCCTGTCTCCGTGGAGGGTCATGAGGAATTCGAAGTCTCTGCTGTTCTTGACTCTCGTTACCTTAGGGGTCGACTTCAGTACTTGGTGCATTGGAAGGGTTATGGGCCTGAGGAGCGCAGTTGGATTTCAGCTGATGCTGTTCATGCTCCCCGCCTTGTGCGTTCTTACCATTCTCGTTTTCCTGCCAGGCCTGGCCCTACCCGCCCGGAGGGCGTGCAACTTTGTAGCGTTACTCACCTTATCCAGGGGCCGGCCGTGGTCCTCTCTTGAGACGCGAGCGGTCCTGCTGCTGCACGAGCCGCGCGCGGCTCATCCGACGGCCTCAACAGGAAGGCGGGCAGTGACCGCGAGAAGCGGTCACGTGTCCCGCCTGAATCTAAGAGCGTGCCGCGAATCTTGGGCGCGCTCTTAAAGAGACAGTGGGAGCCTAAATTGTTAAAAGGCTCCCATTGGCCCCTGTCATGCCACAATACACATACACTTACCTTTTGTGGGTGTGGATATGACAGGAGCCAATCACATTAGTTTAGAAGCTATATATACTTACCTCTCCCTTTACTCCCTGCCCTATCGTGGTTTCTGTGTCAGTTCCCTTTAGCGCTTGTTGTGTTCAGTTGTGTTTCTCCGTTTTGACTTTGGCTTTGTTTCTGACTACGTTTTCTCTTTATCCTTATCTGTTCTGGCTGTCGGCTTGCTGTTTACTGTGTACCAGACCCCGGCTTGTCCTAGTTTACGCTGTCTCTCTGTGTCCTTGACTTCGGATCGTCCCTGACTCTGCCTCCTCTCATATACGTCGAGTCCGGCCATTCTAAGGTCCGGTAGACGTATTTCTCCTCTGTGTTGTCTTCTGTTTAGCCGAATCCTGCGTGTTGGGGTATATTCTCGTTACAAACTTCCCCTTCATTGTCATTTTAGCTATTTCCTCCACTAGTAAATGATCTAACTCTTCTATTTGTCCTGGGGGTCTATAAATCTCACCTACACGAGTTACTGTGTGACTACCAAATTCTAACGTAACCAAACGGACTCTATGGTGGCCTCACTAACTTTTATTAGGCTAGATTTTATGCTATCTTTCACATACAGGGTCACCCCTCCCCCTTTCTTGCTTTCCCTGTCTATTCTATATAAAGAGTACCCTGGTATTGCTATGTCCCAGTCATTTTTCTCATACCATGTCTCAATAACAGCACCTAATATACATTATCAGTTGCCATTAGTGCCACAAGTTCATGGATCTTATTCCCTAAACTGTGAGCATTTGTAGACATGACTTATCATTTTGTAACACATTTGCTACAGGCACCTTCTGTCCTTGTTTTAGGGGGCAATTGGATTAATGTTTTATCACCCTTTTGCCCTCCCCCCTCCTAGTTTAAATACATCCTAGCAAAACTTCTGAACTGCTCGCTGAGAACATTTGTTCCCTTTTGAGAAAGATGCAAACCATCTTTTTTGTACAGTTTATTTCCGTTCCAAACAGAGCTACCATG